AAGGGCTGGCCCAGTGAGGCAGGACTAAGAGGGCGGGAAGTGCCCTCGGTCATTATTGAGGACTGAGAGAGCAGATGTCAGAGACGTGTGTGCATGGCCTGGCCACAGGGTGAAGATGGATTGTCCTTAAAGATGCTTATCCCCGGCTGGGAAGGTGGCCTAGCGGTAGAGTGCTTGCCTAGCATGCATGAAGCCCTGGGTTCGATTCCTCAGTACCACATACACAGAAAAAGCTGGAAGTGGCACTTGTGGCTCAAGTGGTAGAGTGCTAGCCTTGAGCAAAAGAAGCTCAGGGGCAGTGCCTAGGCCCTGAGTTCAAGCCTCAGGACTGGCAAAAAAAAAAATGCTTAGCTAAGAACTAGGAAGGGGACCTCGGTCCAAAGAGCAGGGGTTTCTGTCTACCTGGTGGTCAGTGGGGGGACGGAAGGAAGACAGTGGTTGGAGAACACAGGTCCTGTCACATGGCTGGAGGTGGGTGGGGCTTAGCCTTGAGAAGACTTAGATCTCTGCGTTTTCTGAACCGGTCTGGGTGCCTGCCCTGATCTTTGGACAGCCATGGTGCAGCTCTCAGGGCAGTTCTGGTTTGAACCGATGCCGTGTCAAATTCCTATAGCCGGGCAATGGCCGAGCTGCAGTGTGACCCAGAACCAGGCTCCACTCCCAGGACAGCTCTTTCCAGTTCCAAAGCTCCTCCTGACACTCAGATGCATGCTTTGGGTAGAAACTCCCCGTCGTACACATGAAGAAGCTGAGACTGAAAGCCAGGATACGAGAGAGGAGCAACGTGACTGGCCAGGTCATGTTGAGTGCGTGAACCAGTGGCAGAGCAGACCTGGCCCCCACGTGCTTCTCCAACAAGTAAACACGTCTCATTGGAAGCCAGGCACAGAAGGCATGTGCTGTATGAGTCTATCTATAGGACACGTCTGAAAAGAGCAAATCTACACCAAAGACTTGTGGCTGCTAGGCAGCAACCAGCAGAGGCCCTTAATGAATGTAAGACTTTGTGTTTTGGGGGGTGATTCTGGAGTTAGATAACAATGATGGTTACCTAACTCTGAAAAGAACTCAAAGCCTCAATGGGCAATCTATATGGCATGAATTACATTTCAGTAAAACAATAAATAAATAAAGCTACCAGTATACAGCATGGCTGCCAGTCCCTGGAGAGGCAAGGGAGCAAAGTCTGACCCTTCCCAACTTATGATAGCGGAGTGTTGTCCCCCAAACCCATCATGGGCTGAAGACGGTATATACTGGAAATGCACGCGGTACTTCTGTTCCTACTGAAATGGAGAATTGCAGCTATCGGACCAGCACATTGTGGAGAGGTCCTTGTGCCCCCTGTGATCTCGGGCCTGATGGGGAGCTGTGGTCCTTGTTGCTGGCCACAAGAGAGACAGACAGAGAGAGGAGTTGGGGGAGAGGGAGAGAGAGAGAGAGAGAGAGAGAGAGACTATCAGACTACAGATCCTGATGCAAATTCACAATCAGGTCCTGCTGAATGGGCATGGTGCATTGTAAGGGGAATTGTTGTTAAGCTGTGTCTACCAGCCTGATTGGGATAGAAACAACTAGCCCTGACTTGGAAGCACTTTGTGCTGAAGCCATTGGGGCCCTTGCTATGACAGCTTGTATCCTTCGTTTGTTCATCACTGACGGTCACCCCAGAGCAGGTGGAGCTTCCCAGTCACCTCTCCTGATAATGCTATGGCCTCAAGCTGGGAAGGTGGCTCAGTGGTAGAGTGCTTGCCTTGCATGCATGAGACCCTGGGTTTGATACCTGGGCATGACCTCAGGCCTGAGCTCCTGAACATTACTTTTTTTTTTTGCTCACAGACTCTGCTAGGAATGCAATTGTAGTCTCTTTTTCTGTGTGTGGTGCTGTGAATCAAACTGAGATCAAACTGAGATGATCCTTGCACATGCTTGGCAAGTGCACTACCACTGAGCTACAGCCCCAACCCACATTTGTAGTCTTGCAAACACCTTTGGCTGCAGAATGGACAATGAGAGTTTGGGGACAGTGGTGGCTGACATTGTAGGAGTGGTGAAAGTTAAGAGATGATGGTTGGACACATGAAGAAAGAGATGGCGCCAGGAATACTTAGGGGGCAGAACTGAAGAGAGGCCCACTGGGCAGGTGGACGAAAAGATAGTATAGTGAGCACAGAGTCCCAGGTTCTTGGCAGGGCTGGGTGTGTGTTTGGTGGCGACATGACGCACGTTTTATTTAATGAAGGGGTCAATGCATGAAGCCATGGACAGTGGAGGAGCACCAAAATAGAAATAGGAATAGACAGAGTCCCCCGCCACTGGAGATAGTAAGCTGTGGGTTTTAATCTGGGTGTTGAAGAAGATACTCCTGACCTGAAGGGAAGATCAAACGGCAAACACTCCATACATTGTCTGCTCAGCTAGATGACTGCCATGGCTGTGGGCCTTGCGGGCATGTGATAGGAGATGGGTACTGGATTATCCATGAGAAAGTCAGCTAGGACAAATACTCCGTTAATATTTCCTGAAAAATTATTGAGTATATTTTAGAATGTACACTGTACATTTTATTTTTATTATTTATTTATTCATTTATTTATTGCTGGTTCTGGGGCTTAGACTCAGAGGGCCTGGGTACTGTCTCTGAGCCTCTTTGTGCTCAAGGCTAGTGCTCTACCACTTGAGCCATAGCACCACTTCTGCCTTTTTCTGAACAATTTATTGGAGATAAGAGTCTCATGGACTTTCCTGCCTGGGCTAGCTTTGAACTGTGATCCTCAGATCTCAGCCTCCTGAGTAGCTAGGATTATAGGTGTGAGCCTCCAGCGCCCGGCACACTGTACATTTTAATACATATTAATTAGCATACATATTGGGGAACCGCAGTGAGGAAAAGTTGGAGACTACTGATCTCCATGACAGAAGCCACCCCTGGCCCCAGGACTTCAATTGCCCAAGACAGTGCCCCAGTGACAAAGCTCAGGAGGTTCAGGAATTTTGACACTTGAGCCAGCTCTGCAAAACTCTCCTTTATTAGGCTGTAGAGAAGGACAGAGCGTCGCAGCTTGCCCCGTCTTCATTGGATGTGAGCAGCTTCTTCTGTACCGTGTGACATTCCTTAGGTCTTTCACAGGACAGACTTCTTCATCAGGACCAACTCCAGGCCCGCGAGATCCCCACCCACAGACCCAGGCATGTCTCAGACCATCAGCGAGGAGCCCCGGCGGTGGCCAGCTGTATTCCGGGACACACAGACCGCCACATGCTGGACTGAGGACCCGGCCAGCCGGCCAGGGGCAGTTTCTGCTGTTCAGCTCACAGGACGTTCACAGTTGGATTCATTGTAATACTGGATTCTCATACCACTTCTGGTGTTGCCTGCTTGCTTTCTCAGAGTATATGTTTGTGTGTTTACTGGAGAAGCGGGGAGGAGTTGAGTGGGGGAGGAATGTTCAGGGGTTTTTGTTTTTCATGAAATTCAGAGTCAGCTGTGGGCTGTTTGCAAGTCAAGTCATCCTGGGCTCTGGCCTCTCCACTGAGCCACCCTGCTATCATTCATTCACTTCCTGTTTCTCCTATGCGCTTGGCTCCAGACTGACCTTGGACCTACAGGGTTTGACCTTGCAGCCTGGGCTGTCTGTTCCTCCAATTCTCCCCCTAGGATTTGGAGTAGTGCTGGCCACAAGAGGGAGTTTACAAGCAGAAAAACAAAACTCTCCCAGGATCCGAGGTATTGGCGGCAGGGCTGTCTTCTGGCCAAGGGTGCTGGCTTGGAGTACTTCCCTGGCACCTGAGACCATCCAGCCTGCCCATTGAGCCAGAGCCCCCAGCAGATCCCTGCATTTACTCTCATGGGGAATCTATACATGGAGAAGCTGCACTGGCCAGGCATCTCCAATCTCTCCAGCTTCCCACCAGGGCAGTGGATGGGGATGTTGGTCTTAGGAGGCTTCCTCAAGGTCACCTGCCCCTCACCTTGAATGCCCTGGACTATGGCCGTAATTACTGCACAGCCTACTACGCAGGGAGGTTAGTCCCAGAAGTAATGCTTCGGGATAGCTGACCTTCAAGCCCTTTTGCTGGTCTGTTGCTCTTGGGTGCTTCCCCCCCTGACCACCCCACTTATCTGGCTTACCCCTGAATAAACGATTGACTGGCACCCAAGTTACCAAATCCAGTGAACTGCCTGGATTCCTCAGGACAGCTACTGACCTGGCTGAGTCTGACTGCACATCTCTCTTTCCCTGCCCCATCACACACGAAGCACAAGGGGTGGCCTCCCCGCAAAACTCTTGAGTGATCAGGCCTGGACACCTGCTGGTAGGTATTGCACTCCATCGCTGGCTTCTCATACAGCTTCTCCATGGAGCAGTCTCTAAACTTCTCTGATAGACGCGTCCCTGTGCAGGGCGTATAGTGACGCATACATTTACATAGCACCTTTGGCTTTTCAAAGTACTTCCATGCCTGCCACCTCCTCGAGTCCTCAAGTAACCTCTGGTGGCAGAATAGGAAACTGAGGCAGGGAGGAGGCCACTGAGCGTTTGGTGATGGGCTGAAAGGAGACCCCAGAGGCTCCGCCTCTCAGCTCTCGGTTGCACCCACAGTTCTCTCCCAATGAAGTCATAACAACAGGTGCCTCCTGTCTCCCTGTTTGAGTTTGTGGGTTCCTTGAAGACAGAACTTTCTTTGTCTCTGTTTTCCCTCTAGCCCATAGGGTTCAGTGCTGTGAATGCAACAGATCCTTACTAAGTGCTTATTGGGTTCTGCCTTGCACAGCAGGCCTCGTCCGTTGGTGAGGACATGGAAGCTGGAAGGCAGTTCTCCTGGAGGTCTGAGCTGTCACACTGTGCTCAGAAGGGAGTGAGAGGGAAGCTGTCACCCCATCCAGGCCCCTGACCCCTCCACTTCTGGGAAAGATCAGGCCTGCCCAAGAGGCAGTAAGAATAACACGATTGGGTTTCTGGAACCCAGCTCTGAGTGCCAGGACACCCGGCCCTTGCAGTGGGCTCATGTAGTAGGGTAGGGCGGGAATAATGGCGCTATGACTTGTTGCCCAGGTGGATGGGCTAGGGATGCTAGGGGATGCCTAGCGCTCCTTCCTGGGCCCCCAGTGCCCGCACCCATTAAGTCATCCTGATGGCAGCGGTTCACTGGCTGCTTCCTGTCCAGCCCTACAATTTGTGGATGTGACGCTCCACGGAGACAGAGGTCCGCAGGGTACCCAACGAGTTCTCGGTGTGGGTGGGCTCCGCCCCACGGCCTCCTTTCCCGCAGCTTCCCCCGTACACCTCCCGGGACTTCTTACGGAAGCGCTTGCCCACCATCACGTACACCAGTGGGTTGAGGCAGCTGTTGCTGTAGGCTGCGAAGGAGCTGATCTGGGTGATGATGTCGATGACGTGCTCACCCCAGCAGCCAGAGAGGACCTGGAGGTGCAGCAGCGTGTCCAGGAAGGTGCTGACCTGGAAGGGCAGCCAGCACACCACGAAGAGCAGCAGCACGGCCAGGACCAGCACGGTGGCCTTCCTCTCCGTCTGGATCTCCTTGAACTTCTGCATCTGGTTGTTCCGTAGCACGTGCAGGATCTGCACCGTGCAGAACGTGATGATGCCCAGCGGGAGCAGGAAGCCCACCAGGTTCAGGAGGACGTTGGTGAACAGCTGCCAGGTGAGGGACGGGTAGACGATGAGGCAGACGGTGACATTGTGACCCTCCTTGTTGTAGTCCTTCATGGTACGGAACACCAGCATGGGGGAGCTCAGGAGCAGTGCGCACCCCCAGATCACCAGGCTGTAGAGTTTGGCCCAACGGACCCTGCGCATGCGGCCCACGGACATGGTTTTCACCAGGGCCAGGTAACGGTCAATGCTCACCAGCATCAGGAAGCAGATGCTGCTGAACAGGTTCATGTAGATCATGGCGTTCACCACGCGGCACAGGACCTCCCCGAACAACCAGTCGAAGTTGTTGGCGATGGTGACGGCCCAGAAGGGCAGCCCACACGCCAAGATGAGGTCGGCGGCTGCCAGGTTCCCCAGGTAGATCTCGGCCACGGTGCAGTTGTTCTTGTGTAGGCAGAAGACGCTGAGGACAAAAATGTTCTCGAGTGTGGCCAGCAGGAAGAGGACCCAGAGGAAGGGGGCCTGGGTGGCATTGATCCATTCTAGCCACGTGGTGTCTGGACAGTTGTCATCCGGGGAAAGGGTGCCGTTAAGAGCCAACGAGAGGACTTGAGGTGTGATGTTGAACATTTCAGAGCTGGAGGTGGAAAAGAGGCTGTTAGACCCCAGAGCTCAGGGAGGGGGAGAAACGACAGAGCAGAAAGATGCTCAGCCACCAGCCTTGAAAAGCTGCTCTGCTGGGGGTGTTGGGGGGTGACAGGAGGTAAGGTAAGGCTCGGGGTCCCTTGGCTGCCACAGTAACAGACACTGCACTCCAAGGCTTTAGTCCCCGCTTTCCTGGGGTCTCAAGGCAGCCTAATTGCGGCCCCTAGAAGCTCCTCTGGGAGGCTCTTCAGGCCAGTGTCTAGGTCAGCCTTCAGCCTCTCAAAGCTGCGTCAAACAGGGGGATGCCGGCGTGGAATCCCCACCACAGCCGGCCTGGCCACGCCCTGTCTCCTAGGCCAGCCTGGCTCTTCTAGTAAAGGGCAGAGCCACGGTCCCACACCCTCATGAGCAAAGCAACTAAGGTGATGTCAGGATACATGATAGAAAGAAAAGACGGGGCTCCCAGCAGTCCTCCTGGCTCAGATCCCGGCTCCCTCACTTATTAGCTGAGCTGCTTTAGAGAAGCTAACCTACCTTCTCTGAGCCTCAGTGACTTGATCAGTAAAATGAAAATAGCAAAATTTACTTTTTAGGATCGGGAGGAGAGATCCAAGACAATGAGTGAGGAGCTCTACCGCTGCTGCCTTTGATTAAGTAAAGGTAATTGTGTTTGTCAACCTCTTATAACAAGTGTCACACGTCAGCACCATTTTTAGATTCTTGCTTCCCTCCCCCAGACTTCCTAATATACCGGGACTTGAACTCACGGCTTCTTCTTTAGCTTTTTCTCTTAAGGCTGGTGCTCTACCCCTGAGCCATAGCTTCAGTTCAGCCTTTTTGATGATTAGTTGTAGTCTCATGCCTTTTCTTCCAGGCTTGCTTCTTGATCCTTGAGTCGCTAGGATTAAAGGCTCAAGCCACTGGAGCCTGTCTGGCTCTTGCTTTTGTATTGCCTTAGTTCCTGGATTCCCCTTCACTCTTAGGCAACACTCACAGATTGAGGCTGAGCCTCTTTGTGGAAGTGTTTGCTGAGAAGGCAAAATCTGACTCTGCCTTCCACAAAGAGACATGGGGCTCAGACAGCCGTGGATTCCCACCCTCGCTGTGTGGCTTGGGCAAATGACTCAGCCTCTCTGATCTTCCACTTTGCTTTCTTTGGCATAGTATATTATTCTCTGATTCACTTTGCATAGTCACTGCCAGGTTCCAATCGAGGGCAGGCGCGGGCCCCTGTTCCCTGTGGGGTGGGCAAGGGGCACAGGCAGAGGCCCTTCCAGGGAGGCCTATTGTGGAACAGCTGGAGGAGGAGGAGGAGCAGAGCATCAGATCCACACTGGAGCCAGCCGGGGGCCTGATTCACTGGTGGATCAGAGCTGTTATTCTGGAGCGGTTTCTGGGGAACGGTGTGGTGTGAGGGGCTCCCCTGGGGCCAGGGACTTGGAGCAGAACCTCACCTTCTCCACTTTGCTCCTGACAGGGGTGGTTTTGTGTGTGATGAAATCAGAGCAGGGGGAAGGGGGCCTGGTGAGGCTGTTGACAGTGGCTGTGGACCTGAGGGGGATGGGCAGAGCCAGAGAAGCAAGAGGGTGCCATGGGCCCTGGGAGGCCCCAGCAAGGCGAGGCAGCCCGGGGAGTGGGAAGCGGGCGGGGGGGGGGCAGAGGTGGGGGGGGAGGCAGTCTGAGGCCCTGGCTCCATGGCCCTGGCTGACACAGGTGGGCTGTATTGTCCCCGGATGGAGACACCAGGCCAGGCTGCTCTCCGTCCTGTCTGCTCTGCTCTCTAGGACTGACCTCCCTCCCCGGCCTCCACTGGGGTTTGCAGCCCAGGTCTCTCAGGACTGACCTCCCTCCCCGGCCTCCGCTGGGGTTTGCAGCCCAGGTCTCTCAGGACTGACCTCCCTCCCCGGCCTCCGCTGGGGTTTGCAGCCCAGGTCTCTCCTTAGCGCTGCTCCTAGCACATGTCAGCTGTGCACTGGAGATGTCTGGTTGCTTCTATTGAGTCTGTCTGTCTGTCTGTCTGTCTGTCTCTTCTCCCTCTGGGTTCAGGGCCTCACGCACACCAGATGAATACTCGCACGTGTGAGCCACATGCCAGGCCTTTTGCTTTTTCAGTTTTTCCAGCTAGGGTCTCGTGCTTTTGCCGGGACGGGCATCAAATGGTGATTCTTCTATTTCATCTTCTGCTTGGCTGGGGTGCCAGGTATGCACCACCATGCCTGGCTTAGGTTTGAGTCCCAAGCGTGCCTGGAGTAGCTTGCTCGCCTGTGACCAGCAGGACAGTGTGTCCCCAAATCACCCCCCACCCCCGGGCCGCACAGAACAGCCGACTTCCTCTGTCCGCACCTTGCCCACAGGGACTGGCGTTTGTCTGGGGTCTAGCACGCCTGTTCCTTCTCTGTGGTCTGGTAGGTCTGTGGCTCTTGTGGGACCTCTGCCTCAGGTCTAGACGTGAACTACAGGAGCCCAAGACGCACCTGAACGAGGCTGTGGTGGGCACAGGCTCCTCGTAGACAGACAGGAACATGGGTCTCTTCCAGGCAGACAGCATTTGGCTGCAAGGTGGGGAAGGAGTGAGGCTCTACCTGTGTAGGACAAGGGAGAGGAGATGGTTAGCTGGGGCCAGGGAATGCTGGGAACCAGAGTCCCCGTGAGAAGGGGAGGGGAGGGCAGCCAGGAAGTGCACTGAGCACAGTGGTGGGGTGGGGGTGGGGAGGGGAACTCCCGCTCGCTAGCTGCCAGGCGGGACCTGTGCTCTGAGAGCCATGGAGAAGCCAGGCGCCTTGAGATGGTACTGCAGTCACCAACAGAACCCAGCACCGGCACAGTCCTGATAGTGATGGAGTCGAAGGTGGCCCCCAGGGGTCCCAGTGTGGCCATGTGGAAGGCAGAGGGACTTTCCAGAAGAGGACTTGGCACAGGAAGTGAGATGATCAGGGGCGGGCTCTCTTCTGATGTTTCAACTGTGAGCCAAGTAACCCTCTTTTCTATATCAGTATCCAGCCTCCAGTATTTTATTATAGCAAGTGAAAAGAAACCAGTCTGAGAGCATGAGTGGGTACTGATGACAAGGACTGAACACAAGTGGAGTTAGCATAGGGAAAGGACAGGGTAGGAAGAAGGAGCAGGCACAGAGGCCCAAAGGCAGGGGGAAGCTTGTCAACAGTGTTAGGCCCTGCTGGCTGCCGAGGGAGGCGGCCAGACTAGAAGCAGGAAGACCAGCTGCCAGGGGTTGTGAGTCTACAGAATGAGGGGTTAGAGAATAAAACCCTTGGCTGGGGAGAGCATGTGTATAGACCGGAAACGAGTGAGGGGATCCTCTGAGCCCTCAGTGTGTGTTGGGGCTCCAGGGTGGGGTCTAGACCAAGGGGCTGAGACACAGTGTCCCAGATGGATCGAGGAGCATTCTTCATCCCTTATGGTCGACCACCGAGGCTGCAGCCAGGAAATGAGGAATGGGGACCAGAAGGGAGTTGTCTAACCCCATTGCTGGGAAGACCTTTTCCTGTCCAGACCCTACAATCTGCAGAATCCTCTGAGACCTGGTCCCCTGTCAGCGTCTGGGGGTATGGACCTGCATGTGTGTATGCATGTGTGTGCATGTGTGTGCATGTGTGTGCATGTGCATGGAGACAGCCGTAGATCTACCCTCCCCTGCCAGCTTTTCAGTGCACACATTTACAGCAGTTGTGAGGTACATGGCCTAGCCCATCCATGTCCCAACTCTTTCCTCCCTCCCTCCCTCCCTCCCTCCCTCCCTCCCTCTCTCTTTCTCTCTCTCTCTCTCTTTCTTTCTTCTTTCCTTTTCTTCCTTTGTTTCTGATACTGGGCTTTGAACTCAGAGCCTCAAGCTTTCTCAACTTGTTTGCTCACAACTGGTATACCTCTGCCACTTGAGCCATACTTCCAGCCCTGTTTTGTGCTATGTACTTGGAGATGGCATTTCAAGGACTTTTCTGCCCAAAGCTACCCAGATCTCAGCCTCCTGAATAGCTAGGATTACAGGCAGGAGCCATTGGCGCCTGGCTAAATCCCATCTCTTGAACATTTACTCCATCAGGTAAATCCCAAGAACCACCCAGGCAGCTGGAATTCCTTTCCTTGACATGTCAGGTCCCAGGATGAATGTCTTCCTCCAAAGCCCAGCTGGAACGGTGACGGAGTCAGGTTGCTGTTTATGGGCTATCACTAGGTAAACCTCTGGCTGCATTCCCGGGAGGTGGGGGGGGGTCTTCTTGTAAACCATGAGGGCCTCAGCACCAAGGTGCAGCCTGAGCACCAAGAAACCCCTTTTCCTGAGAAGCCACAGCTGCTGGGGCGGGGGGAGGGTTGGGCTCAGGGATCAGATCTGGGAACTCCTGAAGAGCCAAATCGAAAAGCTGGATCCAATCCTAGCCACGTGCGTGTGGGCCCTATTAGCATTTGGACACTTTATGGGCTTGAAATATTCTGGAAACACTTAGGAAGGAGCCTGAGGGGCAGAGTGTCCTCCTGTCCTGTGTCCTGCACAGGAGGATGAAGCCGCGTGCCAGCCTCTACTCTAGGGTGGGAGTGGAGGAAGCTTATTTCACTCCGTAGCTCTTCCTGTTCACCAGAGTCAGATAGTTCCATTCAGCATCTGGTTTCTTGAACACTGGGCTGTGCCGTTTTGATAAGTGAACAATTTCATCCAACACCCTAACATCTCTTCCTCTACAAAAAAAAAAAAGTTTGAAAGAAACAAAAGTAACCACAGGCTGGGCCCAGGTGGTTCAACTTGTAATACAACCTACTCAGGAGGCTGAGATTTGAGGATCAAGGTTCAAAGCCAGCCTGGAGAAGACAAATCTGAGACATTCTTATCTCCAATTAACCACCAAAAAGACAGAAGTGGAGCTGTGGCTCAAGTGGTAGAGCACTAGCCTTGAGCACAAAAGCTCAGGGATGCTGCCGGGGCCCTGAGTTCAGGCCCCAGGAAGATCACAAAAAAGAAGGGAAAAAATAACAACAACAACAATGGGGGAAAGAAAAAACACCAAAAGCTATTGAAATCTCCCAGCTATCTATCTCTAAATGCAACTCTTTTTTTATTCCCATAATTTTTTTTGTAAAGAAATACACTTTCTTAGAGTTTCATTCGGTTAGTGGCACAGTTCTAAATACTCTATTCCCACAATTTTTTTAAGCTTAAGGTTTTTATTAGTGTACCTTAGAGGTAGAGAGGGGATTTCACTGTGGCATTTCTGTATATGCAAATAATGCACCTCCACCCTTTCCACTCTCCCTTCCCCCTCCCCACTTCAGCTCTCATCCATCTGTGTTGCTATAGAAACCAGACTCTTCTTACTCTTCCACACTCCACCATTTTTGTCTACCGAGGTTTTGCATAGAAAGTCACAGGGAAGACTTTTCCTCAGTTTCCTCCATAAGAAGACAGCTTTAACCCACACCGTGTTTGGTTTGGTCATTGACTGAGCCACACCTTCTTATCGCAAGTATTTCTGTGGCGCTGTGTCCTCTCTGCACAGGCTGCGTACCCCAGAACCTTCCCTGCTCTCCCTCAGTCCTCCCTCCTCTCGGACCCCCCTCTGCTGCTGTGTTGCTGTCCTCCCCAGGGGCGGGTGCTGAGTTCAGTCCTGTGCTCTGGCCTGGCTGGACTTACTGTTCCCAGCTGGGCTGCCCTGTACGACTCTAGGCATCCTGGGAAGGTGTTTTACAGGTACCATGTGATTGGAGTCCACCATCAGCTAACTTTCCACAAGGGAGATGAGCCCAGGTTATTTGGGTGGGCCTGATTCAATCCGTGGAAGGAGTCTTAGAGCAGATCCCAGGTTTCACAGAGAGGAAGCAGTTCTGCTTATGGAAAATAGAACTCTGGCCCTCGCTTCTGAGGGTGTGGGGGTGCTTATTCAGCCACAGCAACACATTACCGACTCCTTGACGTAAACCTCATCATACAAATCTCCTACCTTCCCTCCGCGTCTCTGGCTGAACGCCGACTGGCCCACCCCTCCAGCTGCGCTTCCCCTCCTCCTCTGCCTACGGCCCTATTTACAGAGCGCATCTCCGACAACTGCTGTGACCACCTTCCTGTCCCATCGAGCGCAGCCTCCTTTACATGCAGGTGCTCGATACATGAGAGTGACAGACAGAGCACAGGGGACGCAGCCTTCCCCCGTTGTCCCTCCAGCAGACATTTTGCAGGACAGCGCCAAAGGACAGCGGTGTTGACAGCACACCTGCCCCAGCCTCCACCTTATCCTTCTTCCCAGGTAGAAACATGGCGGCAACCAGACAGCCACAGGCAGCTCCAGGATCTGAACCCTGGGCTAGCTGAGCCCAAAGGCCAAATCCCTTCTCCAGCACTGGACTGTATGTTGGTGCAGGGCACCTCCTGGAGAATAGCTGATTGATGGGCAGGCCCAGGGGTGGATCGCTGTCTCTTTCATCCCTGTGAGGAAGACACTCTGCACCAGTGGCTACTGGGCTGGCCACAGGACTGGTGAGCTGCTGGGGAGCCAGCGAGCGGACAGGGAAAGTGGCCGCCCCCAGGCAGCTGCCACGCACACAGTGTGGTTCTTACTTCCCGCTGGGCTCGGCTGGATGCCAGAGATTCATGGGCGTGTGAGACTCCGGCCACTGGATGCCATCATGTCAGTCACCCTTGACGTGGGGCCAGATGTGTGTGTGTGTGTGCGTGTGTGTGTGTGCACATGTGTGTTCTAGGACCTGGGTTCTGGTGAATCTCAGTCCACAGGCTGGTGTGTCCTGAGGGAAGCCCCTTCATGTATGTGCAGAAATGTGACAGACCAGGGCAGGTGCATGCAGATGTCCTAGCCAGATGTAAGGACAGCGTATAGCCGTGTAACTGGGCACCGGTGGCTCATGGCTGTAATCCTAGGTACTCAGAGGCTGAGATTTGAGGATCGTGGTTCAAAGCTAGGCCAGCTAGGAAAGTTTGTGAGGCTCTTAACTTCACTTAACCACCAAAAAGCCAGAAATAGAGTTGTAGTTCAGTGGTAGAACACCAGGGCAAAAAAGCTCAGGGACAGTGTCCTGGCCCTAAGTTCAAACCCCAGGACTGGCACCAAAAAAAAAGGAAAAGCAAAGGGAAAAGAACTTCATAAAGCTGCTTTTTCTGCCATTCACCTGCAGTCACCTTGCTATCACGTTGGGATCCTGGGAGGTCAGGGCTGACCATGGGTGAACAATATCGTCATGGTGACTGGAATATGTTTAAGGAACAAGACAACACCCTGGGACAGCCCACTCACCCACCCCCCCGGACACACCACTCACCTGACCCACTGGGAGGATACGTTGTTTGTCCTAGCCAGCATTGTTAATAATACCAACTTCTCCAGAACCCTTCCCCAAACAGGGACTAAAATGCTGACCAACCAGGCCCAACTTGAGCAGGGTTCTTTTATCAGTCAGCAGGACTCTGTACATCCCCTATTGTCTGTAAAACCCCAGGCAAATGTCTGTACCCCCAAAATGGCTGAAGATGTACTGTCTCCCATGGCAAACCATGCTATATAAGAACTCTTTTCTCTGGCCTTCACCTTGTGTCTGCTTGACAGGCGGGGGTGAATGGGCAGTCCTG